AGTGAAGGAAAGGGTAGGGCAGATCACTCTACCTTCCAGACTGCTTTCAGGACATTTACAATGTACAACACAGCCAAGTGTGCTTTTAGGATGGTGACTGGTCTAAAGAGTAGACAGATGTGGCTTTCTTTCTTGGATGGTGTCACATCGGAGCAGTTGCAAGCCTCCTCTCTGCCTGTAACGGACATCGGCAGTGCCCTGCCCATGCTCCAGAACCATCTAGAGTACTCCTGTGACTTCCAGCTCTCGGTGTCTGTGCCAGGGGGTACCTCTATGTGAGAGGTATGCATAGCTTCACTGCCTTTGGCAGGCTGGAAACACCAGGAAACTGACATCCCAAGAGGTAGCCACAACCATTGATTTTTATGTGGTTGGTACTAAACACCCCAGCTCCCTCACCCCTGGGGTGGAATGATTCTGAGCCTATGTTTGGACCCATTTTTCTGAATGTCCTGTGGTTTTAGCTGTAGCTACTTTGTGTTATGCCCTTTAATGGTTCCCATCTCTTCCCTGGTCGCTCTCCTCCTGGCGTTCCCTGTGTTTCTGAAACGAACTACCTGCACTCAAATCTTCATTCTTTGAGAACTTAAGCCAGACACTCACCAGTGATACAGAAACACTAACTCGGGAATTAAGCTGTAAAGCGATATTTTTCAGGGAGCCACATTTGGAACACCTCGACTTTTCCATCAGTGCCCTTCATCCTCTGCCCCCTCTGCGTGGGACGTCTCCTCTTCAACGCTCCCCTCTGTGCTGCCCCTCTTCTCTTTAGTTCCTCAGACAGCTCGGTTTTCTATATCTTGAAAAAGGTTTCCATTTATCTCTGCAGTGCCCTTTGGCTCCAGTGCTTTGTATTCCCTTCCCGTCCCAGACTTTCAGATAAGCATCTACAATTGCCTCTATTTTCTCTTTTTTTCACTTTTTGCTTAACCACTGACAGTGTGGGTACCATCTTCACCCTTTAGCTCTCAAGTTCCCACTAATAACCTTCTTATCATGAAATGTAGAGGCTCTTTTTCTCTTCTCCTGCCGTCTCTGCCATCACTGAGCATATTGACATTTCCTTCGTGACCTCAAAATTGTGTCTTGTGTAATTCAATTGTTAGGACTTTAGCAATGGAAAGGGCAGTTAGTCCAACCCCTTCATTTTACATCTGAGGGGAAACTGAGAACTAAGAAAGTTGGATGATTTTCCCGGCAAGGTGCAGACATATAAAAGCTGGGCTTTGAATCCAGGGCTTCTCACCTTCCATCCAGTATGAGAACTGTTTTTGGTAATTCTTTGTCCAAAAAGTTCACAGTGTTCCTAATTTTTATTCCTTCCTATATAAAGGTGTCCTTGCCAGTCTGCTTCCCTCCATAGCCCACCCTCCCATTGCACCAGTCAGAATGTTCTAAAAGGTAAACCAGGATTTATCACTTCCCTGATTAGCCTACAGTTCTTCTCTATTGTAGTTGGAATATAATCCAACCCCCCTTTCATGCTCTGCAAGACCTCCCATGTTCCAGCTCTTTCTCTGACGACATTTCCTACTATTCTTGCTCTTATAGTCACTGCTCTCACACACAGACTCCCTCCTATTAGTCAGCAAGGAAAGCTTAGTCCTTCTTCTGGACACTGGCTTTGCTCTAACTTGTTTGGAATGCTTTTATCCCGTCCCATCACTTGACCGCTTCCTCCTCATCATTTGGTCTCAGCTTAAACGGCTACCTCCTCTTATGCTCATATACCTTACATTTGGCATCAACATATCTACAATTTTCTTTAGACACACAGCTCACCATGCATCATACTGTTTTCTTTTCTTCATAGCAGTTACCGCTAGCTACAATAACATAACTTCTTGATTGGATTTGGAGTTCAACATGATTCCCATCGTTAGAATATAAATTCATGGAATATAGGAACTTTGTCCTGTTTGCCATATCTCCAGCCCCCAGAACGGCAAATGGCCAGTAGTTCGCACTCAGTTACCATTTATAGGATGAACACATTAATGAATGGTGTCTGAATTTTTATTTCTCATTTCCCAGAATCCTTTCTCTTTTACTCTACAATCCTGTACTCAACTACTTTCTCAGTATTTTTGTGTGTTACTATAATCAGACTGTTTTTCTCATAGACCATTAAGGACAAAACTTAATTCCTCTTCAACCAAAAAATCCCACCGTTTGTCTATTTAACTATTCAAGTTGTATCACTGTATCAAAGTGTAAGTCATGCTACATTACCATGGAATCACATCCCACAGTCCTCATTGATCACTTTTTTCAAACTATGTAAAACCACTCGTGCATTTTATGTAATCTAAACACTCACATATAATCTATATCATCTTGAATCGTTTCCAGTTGTTTCATATAATGATATTTAGGCACTGTGCCTAGACGCTTTAAGTGTGTTTGTGTGTATGTGTGTGTGTGTATATGTGTGTGTATTTGTGTGTGTGTGTGTGTCTACAGCCAATCCTCATTATGTCTGGATTTTGTATTTCTGAATTCACCAACCCCCTAACATTTCACAGTCAATATGTGCAGTGCTTTTATGGTAAATTTCGCAGAATAGTGAAAACTCTGAGTCACCTAACACACACATTCCAGCTGAAGTCAAACAAGGCACCACTCTGCCTTGTTTCTGATCTAATGTAAACAAGTGTCCTTTTGCGTTCTATTTAGTACCACACTTTTCATATTTTGCTTTTTTTAGTGATTTTGCTTTTCAAAATAGCCTCCAAACCTAGGACTGAAATGCTGCCTTGTGTTCCTAAGTGCAAGGAGGCTGTGACGTGCCTTATGGAGAAGACAAATGTTAGATGGCTTTGTTGAGGTATGCATTATAGGCTAGGCTGTTAGCTCAATGTAAATGAATTAACAATATACATTAAATAAGGTGTCTTTAATAGAAACACTCATAAAACAAGATTATGTATTGCTCAGTGCTGACAATATTGCCTACAGGAACCTAACCCTGTATTTCCCCTAGGAGCAGTATTTTCTAATTCGGTGTTCATGACAACTTTATAGAACAGAATTATCAGGAAAGATGAGAATTGACTGTATTTGTGTGAATGCTATATTTTTTGCCATTAATCTCATTTAGCTATTTAGAAGACAAAGAAACTAAGAGCTATTGAAATTTAAGGAGTTTGCCCAAGATTATTTGCCAAGCAGGTAAATGGTAGATCTGGAATCCAGTTGTCATATAACCAAGTCTTTTGGTTTCTCATTCACCACACCAGTGGCTCTTGTTTGTTTTAATTAGCTGTAGAGCCATAATTATTATAAGAGATGAAGGGAGGAAAGTAGAGAAAATACAAGTGGATTTGGATGAAAGAGCAAACCATGATTCACATAGAGAAATAGATGTAGATGATATTTTTTTTCAAATACAGCTTGCTTTAGAGTCCCAGTTTAGTGTTTAATTACAGCCTCAAATCTTAAAAAAGAAACCAAAGGACCTCTTCATTTCAAAGTTAAGTTGGTAACTGTATAACTTCATGTTCCCTATCATGGGAATGAAAGTCTGACAAGTGACCAGACCTTAAAGAATCAAAGCTATAAAAATGCTCTCATGACCCGGATTTTTGCCCTGCCCTGAGGATGTACACTTTAAACTTGCCTGACATTTATCTGGGCTAAAATATATGTCCTATAGAAGTGAACATATCTGCACATCATATGTGGTTAAACATACCAAGGCCTGATTTCATAAAGAGCTCTCACCTTCCTAACCAAATGTGCCTTTCTATAGAGATGGCAGGAGACACTCTATCTTGAAATCCATATAAAATATAAAATGGGTCAAGTTACTATGTGATCTCCAGGTATATACCTATATATAAATATATGTATGTTTATACGTATATACTTACACATTAAGACATGTTTTACATACTTTACTTATTTTCAAAAATAAGTTAAACGTTTTTGGAGCCTCCAAAGCCCTTTTGTGAACACAGTTTGAAAACCTGCTTTTTCCTCTCTGAGAAGACTATACAGGGGCCTAGAGGTTAAGAATTCTAGCTTTTGTGCTTCTTATTTGCAAATGATCTTATTTAGTGCTAAATATAAAGAAGTCTCTTATCATTGATAATCCAGTTTAGCCCACATGGTGGACTACCAGTTGTATTAAAACAAGGACTTCTGCCATGTTGTGGTTAGAATTAAATAGTATGATGGCAGGATGTCACCTGGTTCTGGAGCACAGGGTCTTAATATATGTATAGAATGGATGAGATTTTTCTTTTCATATGATATTCTCTTGACATTTCTTTTTCCCTTGAAAACAAGAGGCAATCATAAAGCTCAAATTAACACTTCTCAACTTCCCAAAGCTGCCAGAGATAAGGTTGAGTGAGGAGCTTCCAACAGGGAGGAAAGACAAGATAACAACATTTTATGTCTGCCTCAAGGCTATACTACAAATCCTGGAGTGTTAGAAAAGGAACTAAAGGGTCCTTAAGAGCTGTGTCATCAAGCCAAAGGAACTAATTGGTTTCAGCTTAGAATTCTGAAATCACTGTCATTTCAATATTTCATAGTATTTTATTTTCCCTTAGAATAATTAAATAGCTGCTTGTCCAGTGACTTTAATGATCCTATTTTTTTGGAGCTAAGCTCTTCACAAATCAAGGCATAAGGGTTGATTTATTCTTTCTCCCCAGTTTGTAGAACAGCTGAATTCCGTGGTACAGGTAAAAATGGATTAACAACACGATCCCACCCTAAGCTTTTGTTGGCTCAGTCAACTTCTCCAACAGGGCAGAGGACCTGTACATTCAGAGGTATTGACCCAATGGCTTTATCCTGCCAGGATTCATTAATTTGTCTATTGTGTTTTACTAATATAAGCGCCGCTGAGAATTTGTTTAGCAAAATCTTCTCTACCTCAGCCCCAAAAGAACACAATAGCAATAGAGAGGTTCCAAACTTTTACACCTTACACTCTTGGTTATTTTTCAGTGGAGATTATCATAAACAATAATTCTTTCTCCCTTTAGGAAAAACTGTCAGAGGAAGAGAAAAAACACAAGGATGCTTTGGAAGGTCTTCACATGGTGGTGGGTGAGGATTCGAGGAGCGAAAGCAGCAGTGTAGACGAGGGGAAAGAAAACACCAAATTGCTATTGGAAAGATTGAAAGCTCTAGAGGTAAGAAATGAAACAATTTTTTCATGTTTGAAGAAAAATGACAGTGCTCCACTTCTTTTATTAACATTGGTTTTGAGTGAGAATAAGTCTTCCTTTCTCAGTTCTCCTAGACGAATACGATCCTAGGATCTCCCATTGTGAATCATTTGCAATTGATGAGCAAGAAGTTAAAATTTGTAGCGCTGAGAGTCTTGACCTAGTGACTATGATTGGAATGCCTTAAAATGTGTACATAGGACAATAATTCATTTTAAATTCAGTTCAGCCCTCAAACCGGATCAGTACTTCTAAAATTGCACGCGCTGGGAGGGAAGGTGCTGTGTGGTATTTCACTTTGTTTTACCAGTGTCTAATATAATGAATACTTGAGTGAATGAATAAATAAAATATCTAGTACTATATAAAGACGATTGCAAGAAAAAATTAAATTTTTAAAGAGTTGAAGCATTTCTTAAACAACCTATGTAGAAATTTATCATAGAAAACAGACACATGTAGAGGTGAGGCTGAGCTAAGGGTACTTTAAGGAGGATTTGGAGCCTCCAGAGCACTTTGGAACCACTGGTCTTTTATTTAGTGGCCTTTGACATCCCTAAAGGTGCTAAATTCTGAACATTTATTGAAGTCTTCAAATAACATTCCAGTTACTCTTTTTTAAAGTTTTTAAAACATTTATTCATTTTTGAGAGACAGAAACAGAACGTGAGTGGGGGAAGAACAGAGAGAGAGGGAGAAATAGAATCTGAAATGGGTTCCAGGCTCTGAGCTGTCAGCACAGAGCCCAACACGGGGTGAACCTATGACCCACAAGACCGTGACAGGAAGTGAAGTTGAACACTTAATTGACTGAGCCACCCAGGCGCCCCACATTCTAGTTATTCTTGATTGATATCTCACATGCTGAAAGACTCAGTGAAGATGCCTTTTTCTAGGAGTTGATTTAGCATAGAACAGGAACAGAATTACTTTTAAACCAAGCTATGGTGAGCTCATCTCATCTTATCTAGGTGCAAGGGTCCTTCAGCTAACATCTGAAGTATAGCTCAACAGTAGGGTTAAGCCCTACTTCTATAGAAGCCTGAAAATTAATGTGAATAAACAGGACCCCAGGGAGGTCTTATTTCCTGTGTTTGGTTGCTGCAATCTGCCTCTGTTCCACCGTGTTGTCTATACTGAGCATGCCCTTTCTACACTGATTTCCATCGCAAAGGTAAAGCAAAAGAGTTAAGATTATGGACTTTGGAGCCAGATTCCCAGGATTTTGTTTGAATCCCAATTCTACTGCTTTCTAGTTCTGAAACCTTGGGTAAGTTCACTAGGCTCTCTGTGACTCTGTTTACTCAACTGCAGAAATGGGGATCATAATAGTAAGCTACCTTATAGGGCCTTGATGCAGATTAAATGAGTTAATATCTGTACAACGGTGCCTGGCACATGGTCTCCTCCTTCCACCTACTGCAAGGCTCCTGACTTCTGCTAAATCGTTTTTGTCCTTATTCACCTGGTTATAATGATTAATGCAAGAACTCTGAATGGAAAAATTGAGCTACTCCACAAACAAGTGACTAAGGATGGACAAGTTAAGCAGCTGATACCAAACATGGGGCAGAAGAGCAGTCACTTTAGAACCTTCTGGCAGCTCCCCTGAGGCAAAGAGACAGGAGTCATCCTTGTCTCCCTGAAGCTTCTCATACTTGTGTTATCCTTAAGAAAGTCACTGAGGAAGGTGGAAAAACCTTCTCGGGAGAGACTGAGGTTGCTATCTGAGACCTTTGAGAAAATTGTGGCTTCGTCTCGAGTTTGAATTACCCGGATGTAATGGTAGAAATGAGTAGATACTACAATTTCTTATTTCCCCAGAACCATGTACTTAAACTGTTAGTTTTAGTCCTAATTATAATGACAATTGCTCTTAGTTCATCTAATTGTCACTGAGACAACTTTGTGAAGGACATTTTATTTAATCAAGCTAAGAGGTATTTTAAAAATATCTTTGGCAGCAAATGTTTCTTAAACCCTCACTGAGTAAAAGAGAAAGAGTATTTTTATTTTCTTTCACGAAGATCTTTATACTTCAGGCAACAACTCTAGTGTCCACCGTTAGTTGGATGCAACTGATGATGTATATAAGCATGATTAACCCCCACAATGTTAACTCACAAAAATAGTTTCTTTCCTAAATTAGTTTCTTCTGGTCACAGTGTCACTGCTTGTTTCCTAAAATTCTTTGCTCAGTATTAACTCTCTCCTTGCCCACAATTCTCACTACCATCTATTTGAATGGATAATAAAAACAGATATTCATTGTATATATTTATATTTTTCATTAGTATATATGTGTGTGTAAAATCCACATATAAAGAATACATATGTGTCATACGATTTTCATATGAATTTAATATTTTACTTAATTTAATGTTTAAATATATATTATATGTGCTTTCTGTATAGGATCATTCACTTCAGTTAGCAGTTCTTGTGGGAAAGTTGAATGTACTCAGGGCTAGGCATAGTCCCCCATCCAGATTTATACACTTTAACAAAATATTCCTCCAGAAGATGACAGGGGAATTAACCATAATGCTTCAAACTGACTTTGGTAAAATTTGATGTTATATAACAAGATTTTAGAAAAATAAAAAATATTTTCCATCAGTGTATTTTTGAAACACTCATTATTTGTGTACCCCAGTCTCTTGGCCCCTGGTGTTAGAGGAGGTAGAGAGGGATGTTCCGTAGGCTGATGGAAAGCATCCTTTCTGAATTCCTACTCCCCACATGGTTCCCAGGGAAGTGTGCAAATGGAGAAGATTCATAGACCTAATTTTCCATATTATGTTCACGATTAATATTCCAGTAATATTCAAAAACTACCTAGAATGTAGCTGAGATTGAGAATTGAGTTCATATTGTCCAAGCACATTATTCTCTGACCTGAGGAAAGTCAAGTTTTCCCAGCCCACCCCAGGGTTGTCCCCTGCTGTGGTCCCTTCTGGGGCTCAGTTCCTACTTGATTCAGTTTCCACTCCCTCTTTCTTTTCCTTTCAGAATCAACCTCATGTGAAACAGAATCCCCTTTACTTGATTTTTCCCAAACCCAACTCCCCGAAGGATATGGGGACACATATTCACTAAAGGGTACTCCACGGCAGAATATTCCAAAGCTGAGGGCTTTGAACTTGGTCTTTAGTTAGCTCTTTCCTCCAAGTCCTTCAGCTGCAGGACATTTCTCCCTCGCCATGTTCTTAGTTCCTGACACAGAAAGTGGCCAGGTCTTTCCTGCCTCTTCCTTCTCCCACGACTAAGGCCCCATCACTGATTAAGCAGAGCTCTGTACTCTGTCTCTCCACTCCACTCCAGGTCTCATTCCCTCCCATTCCCAGAACGCATCAAGGTCTTTTGCTAAGTAAGACATTTACCTTCAAAAAACAGCTCCGGGGCCACCAATGAAAATAATGATTAATATTCCCTCCTTCTCTCTCTCTCCTTCTCTCTCTCTCTCTCTCTCTCTTTCTCTCCCCTCTCCCTCCCTGTACTTCTCCCTAGCATTAGTTTTCTCTCTGCTCAGTATCTTGGTTTCAGTAATTTTCAAGTGTTCATGAAGAAGGGTACACCATTACCCTCACCACCCAGCAACTACTTTCCCTGCCCTAAATTGTAATATTTGTTTAGAGTCCTGACGCCTGGTGTTTTTGGTGTATTTTATATCTGTGCTGTAAGGGACATGAGTTATCTAGATGCCACTTACACATTTTCTATAACTTTTAAGTGCCAGTTGTAGTGTTTTCTAAAAATGTTTGGTTTTCAAGACTTGTGTTTAAGAGACTGTTTACTCAACTTGGGATCAAGCTCACCATTTCGATAGCACTTTCCTGTCACAGGCCACCTCTATTAAAGTTCCACCCCTCTCTCCAACCCTATCACTGACCACTGATTGAAGGGATTTTCCCAGACTTGCGTCCAGAATCCATTGACTTGACCTTGTGTCTTCCCTGGATTTTGGCCTCAGGCCCTGGATTTGCTTATGGGATCGTTCCTTGAAATACATAATTTGCTTGCCTCAGGTTCCCCTCCCCACATTCCCACATGCCCTTACTTGTCACTCATCGACTAGCCACACACCTGACTAGAAATCAGGTTGGGCATACTCTTTGCTCACTCTCAGTTCCCATGGCATCCCTGAATCCCAGACTCTAGCCAGGGGGAGAGCACATCTGAGACAACCTGGGAGTTCTGAGCCTCCAGATAAGTGCTGATGCCTTAGCTGTAGCCTCTAGGTCAGAGGAACTTGGCTTCTTATATAAAAGATTTATTTTGAGCAGAAAAATGTGGCAATTAAGTCTGCTAAAGTGGGTAACAGCTTTTTCTATTCAGTTATACCTTTCCATGAAAGTATGACAATTAAAGTGCTAAGCATAAGCATTTTTGCTAATCAGTAATTCCTATTTAAAATGAGGTAGTTTAAAATAGTGATTCTCAAAGCTGTCTGCACATCACAATTATATGTTGAGTTCATAGTCAATAGATATTTATTGAATACCTTCTACAGGACAAACACTAAGAGCAGATCAATTTTCATGGCCCCAAACCCCAGTGAACAGAGACAGAAACTTTACACTGAAATAACAAATAAGCAAGCAAACAAATAAATGGACAAATGGGTGACTCTGAATAAGAAAAACCAAGTTGGATAGTCTAGGGAGTGTGGGGAATACAAACAAAGGAGGTATTTACCTACAATGGCTGCTGACACCAGGCCATATGTAACACAAAGAAGACAGCTATATAAAGATATGGACGGTGGACAGAGGACAGAGAGAAACTGCAAGTGAGGAAGCCTAGATATGATAGAGAATTTGGCAAGTTAGAGGAACAGAAGAAAGATCTTTGCCTTTGTGTTTAAGAGACTGCTTATTCAACTTAGGATCAAGCTCACCATTTCAACAGCACTTTCCTGTCACAGACCACCTCTATTAAAGTTCCACCCCTCTCTCCAACCC